TAGAAATATATCTATCCATGTACTGGAACATATTTGGTTAACAACATATTTGGAGCTATTAACATTGTATAACTGACATCTCACCTCATAATAAAAAGGTAACAATCCAAACAACATAGAAACGTCAAATCATCTCTTCACTGGTAGGTACTTCATATTTTCAATCGCAGCCTTTGAATCATACAGGGTGGTGAGGGTGATAAGCAAAATTCAGCTTGGTACAAACAGCACTGAAGTACATCAAGCAGACACTAAACTGCATTTCACCTTTAAGTTTTCGCAAGTATTAATCAGTCTTTGCAAAGAAAGGATCACAATCTGATTTTGATTTGAGCTGTAGATATACTAGCTTAAAAAGGCAAATGAGACTGAGAACTTTGTGTGTGAAGATAGATCTCCATAATCAAAGATTTGAGAACAAAAAACTGGAGACAATTAACATATTGAGAAATAAGAAACAATACTCCATCAACATCACCACCCTGGCGATAAAATTTCAAAAGGAAGCAAAATTTATGGTCCATGAAATAAGTGAATTTGATTCATTCCACTTGCAACAGATTAAGTATTAGAAGGTGCCTTCCAGAAACTTTTTTCCAACTAAAACCAGAATATAGTTGTATTAATTTGAGCTCAGTACAGTTTCCAACTTTATAAGTACGACTTTTCAAGCAAAGTTTAGTCTTATAGAAAAGGGGTGAAGCTTGCCAGCTGACCGGCAGCCAATATAAAATAATTAAAACAAGTATAACAGATTTTTGGTTTCCGTTTTTTGAGAGAGAAATTTCAACAGGCAACACTACAATTCATTGCAGCAATTAATGATTCACATAGCTTATAAAATAACAAGTGTTCCTTTTAAGGAACACTTACCTTATATCACAAATGTATCATATAGGAAAACTTGAAGTACATGAATGATTTGGTCAATAAGGTAGTCATGCAACAAAATTTTCAAAGTCATATTGATACTTTCACAGAACTTTTCCTGAAACCCAACATTTTGATTGGCGAGTTGATAGTTATAACAAATCCCTTTAATTGATTGTTTTTAAATGACTTTTTGAACTGGTAAAAGTTGATGCATGCCCCTCATTGCACTGTGATATTTAGATTGGTAAAATATTATTAATGAACCCAATAACACTATTGCAAGAAAGGAGTGGATATGTGCATGTTATGAAATGATTGTGTAAAATAAATTTTAGGTTCCTGTACTAATTTAAGGCAAGCAATTACCAACAGTCATTTGATATGCACAGTTTTGTTGAGTATAAAAAGTTAATAGTAACAACTCATGGTCTCACCACCATGTAACAAATTGATGTAACAAGAGAATTTATTTACAGAGGGCTATTTCCTTTTTAATGATGGGAACTGTGCTGCATAGTAACAGGCATTATATATTTTAAAAAAGTTGAACCCATATCATAAAATGACGATACGATTAAATCTAGTCTCGTCAGAGACACGTCAGAAAATAAAGAAATTTGTAGCAATTGACAAGTTTAAGCAAACACAAGTTAGAATCACTAGTCACATACTGCATCTCTACAGGGTATGAAATAAGAATTAAACAGAAAGAAATTTCAGTATTGGCTCCAGCACATAGATGTGGACTTCAGAAGCTGAAGGAGTACTCAAAAGAGCAGTCAGAACCCACCAAAGTTCAATACAATTAAATTTGTTATACTACCAAAAATGTTAAAATATATAAATCTTATTTTACACTGTAATCTATAGATACATTATTCCACAGTTTACTTGCATGAAGTAACTTCAAGTCAGACGTTTCTGACAAAACACTTTGTACACCACTAGCACTTATAAATATGTTGAAATATTAGATTTCATTGTCCATTTTGCTGCTTCCAGCGAGAGTTCTCAACACGCCTCTGCCGCTGCCGGCTCCGCGCCTCCCCGCTTTACTAAAAATGTCGCCGATAGTTTGCCACACTCAATCCAAGGACACACCTATACCGTATGTCTAGAGGACAAATATGTTGGTTATTATGATAAACGTTGCCTTAACTTGTCCATTTCATGATGTTGTAAATTTTATTTACATAAAAGCACTTCTGCAGTACAAAAGTGATAAATAGATTCGACTTCAGACATACGGTAGGACGACCAGTGGCACAGGGGCGAATCATTCGATCACCAAATGTTGCCACAGACACAGTCTGCAGAGACCCACAGAAGGAAAGTAATCAACCTCTCACTTTTACCTATAATTATCATTGTACAGCTTTATGTACACGCAATACAAATTTTACAATCTTTAACGGAAACCTCTTTTAGAGGCTTTACAAGAGTTCAATAATAGATTTCTTATTTTTTTACATTCTTTATAGTTTTATTTTAAAACATAAAATTACTTATAGTACAATTTAAGGTATCACATTTGCCTACAGTGAGAGGGTGACTTCTTTCCTTAATGCTAGAAGACTTGATTCTAAAAGCGTCAGTCTCAAATATCAAGAGGGGGTGAGCAATGCTCAGTAGTTGAGCCACGAAGTTTTGATTGGTAATTGACAAAAACAACGGCTTTATAAAGTTGTAGGTTGTTAGCCAAACCTTCAAAAAGAGACAATTTTTTCTGCTCTTTTTACTGAAGTTGATTAGAAAATACTGAAAAATTGAAATGCATCCAACAGCGGCATGAATAGTACTTCAATTAAAAAATTCCATACAGTAAGCAATCGTCTGATCTGACTTTGTTACACTATCACAGACAAAGCATGAGATTTAGGATAATCTTGTTTTTCGTGGTCAGAGAAAATAGAGATTGGGTATTTTATCTTAAAGATAATTAGGAGAAAATAAAAGGATGCTGTGGGTCTCTAGCTACATTTGACTCTCTCCATAGCAGCCATCTGCCGGATAGTACTAAGACACGACTAGGCCTAATGGGCCGACATGAAAGTGGGAGGTCACATCATAGCACAAGGTCAGGCAGGGGCAAGGGGCGTGTTGATGCGATACACTAGGCCCGTCCGCCAGAGCCTTCCACATCACGGTGCACAATCTTCCGTTCCTTGTAGTAAATTTCTTCTGATTCTTTGTCACATAGTAGAAGAACAACGCCTCCAAACAAAAATATGGCAGCACCCCATCCTACACCATACGCCCATCCAAATTCCCATACGGTGCGGTTTCCTGAAAGAAAGAAAGATTGAAAACAGAGCAAATATTATGCAGCCCCATTAAATTTGAGAGGAAACAAACCTTGATTAAGCTCAGAAGCAAAGCATACTGGATAGACGACCAACGCCACGAGAATTGAAACCACTGCAATAGAGGTAAAGAAATAGTAAAAACATATTAAAAATCCCAGAGACACAGTTGTGCAAAGGCAAACTTACATGACAGAATCATGATGTACACGGCTACACGATAATATTTATATTTGGTCCTGTGATCATTGGAGCGAAGCCCAAGTCCAGTCAGCAGAGTTGCAATAAGGTCTGTCACTAATGTCAGAACACATAGAGCAGCTGCCACCCGAATGTAAGCTGAAACAACCACCCAGTTATATTTCAATACACTGTGAATTGATAAAAACTAATAAATCTCGTTGAAGTTTGGAGGATGTGCTCACTCACCAGCAGGCCTAGCTTGGTAACAATCAGGAGGGTCTGCGATATTGAATGGCAGTGGAGTAGGGGCATCGTCCGCTATGCAGTGTACGAAGAGCCCTTGCCTCCATCCAGCAGACATCAGCCAGTCCGTCGATGCCAGAGCCATCAGCATGAGGGCGATGACTATCAGACCACAGATGAAGGCGATCACCTGCAAGGAGATATTCACAATTAGTAAGAGCTACTGCACAGCACATCCTAACATTTAGATGCTATTTCGCTTGATTCTGGAGAGTGTTTCAGAGAACAGAACACCCGATGGCATGGGATGGGTCGGGTCGCGTCGGACTTCCCCCGGGAACTTCTCGAACGCCCCTCTGACTAAAGAGACAGGAGACCCTCTAAGCGGGCGGGGGAGGATCCGATGTCATGGCGGGAAAGGGGGGAAGGGGCAACACTCAGCTTCCAGCCAAGCGGATAGGAGAGTTGGCCGTGCGCCAGGTATCCACATGGGTTAAATGAGCGCATTTGGCCCCTCCTTCAACCCCATCCCCCACCACCGAAGAAAAAAGGGGGAAAGGGGGAAGGAATAAAATGTGGCCAAATTTGGTCGTTGACCTTATTCGTGTCGTGCTGGTGGGAAAGGTCACATGCCGAGACGTGAGAAAGAAATGGCTTCAAGAACGGGGGAAGCAAACTCGCTGCTGCTCGCTCATCACTACCCGGCGAAATGTCAAGTCGAGAGCAAAAGAGGGCCATTCACCCCTTTGTTCACGTAACCAAGAGCTAGAGGCAGCAATAAATCGAAGATTTTTAAGTTTGAATTTGAGGGAGTGAGTGGGGTGGAGGGTTTACAGTCGAGCAAGCCTTTGACTCCAGCAATGTGGCAAAGCAGGGCTCCGTTCCGTTGGAGCACCTGCATGGCGACGTCGCCACTGATCAAATTTCGCAGCGAAATATTAAACGCCGGAGCGTCGGCCCGTCTGTCTCCCAACCGCAGTCTGCCCGATGCAGAGCGGCAAAAAGAAAAGGAAGATGATCGCCTGGGCGCGCCGAAGCTAGAGCCGAGGCCTGCCCACCAGCAGGTCGGGTCATAACGGTGACAAGGGTCGCCTCGTCTCAAGGGACAGACAGAGCAGCAGCGCCACGCCACAATCAACAAGCTCGCCGTCTACTCGTCACATCGACTCGTCACATCGACTCGTCATGCGGGGCATACTTGATGGATATACCAGGTGGCTGATTCACGCCGCGCACTTCTGTAGTTATGCTGTACCGCATGCACGAGTGCGGGCGGGTTGCCTACTCGCTCGGCTCGTAAGGCGCCGTGGACAGGGGCAATAGGCAAGCCCGCCCGCACTCGTGCATGCGGTACAGTATACCTACAGAAGTGCGCGGCGTGAATCAGCCACCTGGTGTATGCGAACTATCACACATATTTATTAGCAAAGAGGCAGAGAAGGGAGAAATTTAACCGACTGCGGCCTCAATTCTCTAGACTCTTCCTGCCTAATTTTTACAACTCCTGACTTTCCGAAAGGGTAATAACGCGACTGCGCTCCCGGCGAAATCGGGCACTGCGTTCGCAGAGGGTGGGTGGTCCCAAGTCGTGGCCTCTGACCCTGCCGCCGGCGTCGGGGCGGGGTGGGTGAGCTAGATAGACTATGCGAGCGAGGTACAAGGCGCCACCGCTGCCGCTGCAGCCGCCGTCTCCGTGGTATGGTAAGCGCGCGGTCCAGAAAGCTGTTGCCACCCCTACGCCCCCCTCTCGCAACTCCGCAGGGGGGCAGCCACCGCCACCGCCGCGCCGACCCACAGAGGTTGCTCCCGCGACACCCCATGTCCCATCGCTCACCCCCCGCCCCGCTTTCCCCCCGAGGGTGCCCCACCAAAGGGTGCCCCCGAAGGGTGCCCCGGCCACGGCCGGAGCAACGGCGGCAGGGAACGGTGGAGAGGGACTTGAGGGAGAGGGGGTGGGGAACAGGAGAAATCAATATGGGGAGGAGTGCGGGGCTGCGGGGCACGCGGGCCG